AGGAATTGCCAGAAACTGTTGGTTTTGCTACTTTCTCCTCAACGGATCAATCTGAAAAGCTGATTTCAGTGCCTTTATCTCATTAACTTTTCACAGGGGTAAGTTACATTGAGTTATGCAGCAGAGAAATAGACTGACAGACACAAAAGAACATGTATCCTAAGCACTACACAAATCCCACCTCACGTAGGCCAGAGTAGGTTTCAGAACGGGTGACAGGAGGAAGATTTTAAACTTCAAAAACCCTTGCAAACTTGTGCCCTTTCATAAGCATGGAATGTTTCTTTCACCTCGTAGTTGGCATATGGAGTCTGGGAGCTTTTGAAGGAGGTTGTTGTGACAGTTCAGAATTTCTAGGTGGGTCAGCAGGCCGATGGATGGTGGCAGGCACTCTAAGCAATTGTTCTCCAGGTGTAACTCTTTCAGATTCTGAAAACGTGTACACACATTTGCATTATTTTTTGTTAATAAAGGATTTTCCCCCACAGGACGATGTATGAACAATGAACAACAGAACACTGGTAAGCGTAGAATACTGGGGACAACACTGACACTGCTGCTGCTGGTAACTGTGGAGTGCTTAGATTTCTACACTGATGAGTTCTTTGGTAGCTTAGACTGATAGAACGTGGCTGCATACAACATGGTCTATATGTTGCACTTTTGAGATACATTATCAGGACTTGAGGATTTACTTTTTTGCCATCACTCAGAACCATACAGTGTAATCTGTGGGGTCCCCTCAGCACTTCTGAAATTTTCTCAGACTGAAGTGCTTGCTCAGTAGGGAAGCAGAATGAAGGGCAGATAGGACAGCCACCAGCAACTGTAATGTGCCATAGGCTTGGTGGAAAGTGGGCAAGCAGTAAAATATGGCTTAACTATACTGGAAAGAAAGCACAATTGTAGTACATAAAGTTTTGAGCCAATCGACTTTGATGATATGCCCTTGTTGCAAATGTTTAGCCCAGTCCTGGGAGCCTTTTCTGGCCTCCTGTTGCAAGGAGGTTCTCAGTGTTTTCCAGTATCAGGCCCTGTGTGCAGAACTCTCTCGATCTGTGGATGATCCTGCAAGATTGAGTTTTATTTTTTTCAGGCAGTCTAAGTTTTGTATGCTGCTTTGTCACATCAGGCAGAATTATTACTAAGATCCATCCATTGCTATTTTTCCTACCTGTAGTTTGCTGATATCTCCTGGTAAACTGGTTAATTTGATTCCTTTATCTTGTCCCAGATATAATCTCTCTAATGACTCGAGGAGAAAGATTTCCTTAGGAAAGACACTGAATTTGTTTCCAGTCAGACCAAGGCATTTTAGTTTAGAGAGTCTTGCAACCTGCAGAGGTATCTAGACATATTCCAAAACAACCATTAAAATGTTATATTATATTGGTAAAAAGGCAATATTCTGTCTGATATTTTAGAAAATATATTGATCCATTGTTATATATTAAAGCAGAATATTAAACTAGGTGTAATGCAATATCATATAGAGTGTGTAACAAATTCTATACTGTACTGCCTTCCTGAATTGCTTCTCACATGGTTAATTTGACTTAAATAGGGCCACATGGTCTTTGCCAAAAGCATTTGTCTGAAATATAACATTAAGGGAGGGGCTGCTTCTGTATTCCCCCCACGCACTATCTGTATACTGAAGAGCAATTTACATGAATGAGACCCTTAAAGTGACTCATTTGTTTAAATTATTATTCCCACAAATTTGACCTTTAATGTTAAAAACAGCACAAATCAAGATCTGAGACAGGAGATCTTTAGTATCTCATCATTTCTATTGAAAACACCAGTTACCATTTCGCTGTGCTGGTTTTCTTTTTGATGTTTGCATATGCAGCTATCAGTAGTAACTGGTTACAATGCGGGACCTCAGCCATAGCTCAAAACCATTTTTGGTCTGGTGCTGCACAGAGATCAAAAAGATGGGCTCTGTCCCAAAGATCATACACATATTATCTCTGAAGGTTGCAGAGTCCAGTAGTTTAAAATGGGACATTTGAGAAACAAATCAGCCTGTGAAGTTGTCTTAATACAACATCTCATTCTAAAGATAAAGAAACCAGTACCTTGCAAATTTGATTGTCATCCAGTGACAATACTTCCAGGTTGCTCATAGGACAAATCTGTTTGGGAAATGCATCAAATTGATTTTCACTCAGATCTAATATCCTCATCCCAGTTAATTTGGCAAAAGAAGCAGGCAGCACTTGCAAGCCAGTGTTTTTCAGGTAAATGAGGCAAAGGGACGGCCAATGGCAAATCTGACGTGGAAACCTTTCCAGGCTGTTACCTGAAAGCCCAAGCTCGCTCATTTCGGTGAACTCCTTGAAGCTTGGTGGGAGCCTGTGCAGGAGGTTATTCGACAAATCAAGCACAGACAGGTTTTGACAGTGATGCAGTGTATCAGGGACTGAAGTCAAGTTGTTATGAGCTAAAAATAGTTTAACCAAGTTTATCAAAGAGGCAACCTCTTCTGGGATGAAACTCACAAGGTTTTGTTCCAGATCTATTATTTCCAGGTTAAGAAGGTGGCACAGCTCTATGGGAAAGCTCTCAAATATGTTTTTTTGTAAGTAGATCTCTCTCAGTTTTGTGAGGTTCACTATTTCCTTAGGCAGACACCTCAGCTGGTTGCCAGAAAGGCCAAGGAGCTCAACATGATGGAGGCATTTGCAAATCTGCACTGGGAATTCATCCAAGTTCACATTATAGAGCCTGAGCTGACAAAGAGCCTGCAGTTTGCTAATGACATGCAGCGAACTGAGAGACAGCGGATTGCTGCTTAAATCTAAGCTCTGGAGACACTTCAGCTCCCCAAGTTCTTCGCATATGGCCTGTATGTTGTTCTTGTTCAGGTAGAGGACTTTCACATTCTTGAGGCGATGGATCTCTCCTGGGATACTTTCAATCAAGTTTCCTTCCAAGTGTAATTCTTCCAGATCTCCCAGGCAGAACACGTCCGGGGGGATCGTCGTCTGCCGCCGATTGCCTAAATCGAGAAAGAAGAGTCTACCTGCGACCTGCACGGGCAGGACAGCTTCCTTCTCCGGCTTCCCATCCTCTTGCCCGTGCCGTGAAATCCGCAAGCCCCCAAGACTTTCCGTCCTCGCTTTTGAGAAATGAACACCCGGCGCGTCGTCACGCCCGCTCTGCTGCAGCTCAACCATCTGCGCTGCCTCGTCTTAGCTCTGAAAGAGAGAAGAAATAAGCAGTACTTACACGCGAGCCCGCTCAAACAGCATCCAATAAACAAATGAGCAGAATCCACCTTCCCCAAAGCTCTTCCAGTCGGGAGGGGCCCGTTGCCGAATTTGGAGTCAAGGGGGATTTTTACCCCATCGGTCAGATCAGCAAGGGCAGGAGGAGGGGATGGGGTTGGGATAGTCCCTTCTCTCAGCCGCACCCAGGCAACGAAGTTGGACATCTTTCGCCCACGGCAACAGCTGGGCCGGGCGTCCAGGAGGTCGCAGGGTGGCTCCAACCAACGACGCGCCACGTGCACCGGTGCGGGCTAGTGGAGACCCCCCTGCTTCATAGAGAGGCGCGGGGCCAGCCCGCTCACCCTGCCCCGTGCGATAATGGTAACTGCAAGCGGCTCTGACAGCAGCTGGAGAACACGTGCAGCGTGACACGGGCGGGCTCGGGGGCCT